TGAGAACCCTAAAATAACAGAAATTTAAATTTTACAAATGAAAACATGAAGAAAGTATTAAGGAAATCTACCTTTTTCTCTAGCTTTCAGACTGTATTTTTGAGGATTCAACTTACACTAAAACCCCATTTACTTTTTGGACTCTGTCCTCCATTTAAAAAAATACTGAGGGCCCTCTCTGGTGGCACAATAGGTTAAAGCACAGCAATGAAGCTATCCACAGCCACTGCAGAGTGGGTTTGATCACTGACCAGGAAGGTGACCCACAAGGCATGGCAGGCCTCTCCTGACCCTCCCGCAGCTCCCCTCAGCAGCCTGTTTCAGTACATCTGCCTGTTCTGCATCCCATCTTTATCTGGTGGGATCTTCTCACCACTACTCCTACCCCACAACTCTGGGCTGACCCCCAGTTCTTAGCTATATAAATAGATAAATTTTAAAAAATACTGAGATTCGAGACTTTAGAAATTACTACAAAGAATAAAAAAAAACTCTGAATTCAAATACTGGCACAGAAAAACCTCCTATCTAACTTTAACTACTGAGTTAAATGTCCCTGATCACAAAAAAGAGTGCACATATACATTAGACCTTTGCTAACAGGCTTCTAATCCCAATACCAGCAACCAATGATGCTGTAGTTATAGAGATAACATCACCATATACTAAAACAATTTACAATTGGAAACTCAAGTTTTGACTACATATATATATATATATATATATATATATATATATACACACACACACACACACAAAGATATATATATACACACACACACACATACACAAAGCTATATATATACACACACACACAAATATATGTGTGTTTCTTTACATGTAAATTTTAAAGCATCTGATAATGTCAGCAGCATAAACATCATATTAGTAATCAAACTTAGCAGAAAGTTCTTAGAGGCTTGGGAAGCTGTGTATAAAATGGAGTAGACAAGAGGGAAGGGTTCCCTGTACTGTTTAAATCAACTACAGGTCCCAGAATGCAACATTCTAATCTGAAGTTAAGCAAAAACCACAATGCATTCTGGGACTTGTAGTAAATAAACCACTGCACCCTATCACACTAAGTTTCAAAAAGTCTGAACTACCTAACACAATATGACTTGACAGAAATCTCAGGGCCTAATCAAATACAGATATAATTTGGTCTCTGTCCTGACACAGTTTCTTTAGCACATATTGGAAAAGCATCAATTAAAATTTAGATCAGCATTTCACATTAGAAACTTCTCATACAGGATAAGCATTAAAAGATATTTAAAAGCAAAAGGATGACACAATTTTAAAATTATAGTTATAAACATCATTCTTAAAATAATGTTTTAATGTTTTAAGGTTGGTTGAATCAGTTTTAAAACTCGAAATCTCCCCTCCACCAAAAAAAGTTGTTTTACTAGGCTTTCATTTAACAGTCTTCTAAGTTATATTTTGTATCTTTTCTCGAAGAAAATTCATGTAAGAAAACATGCCATATTTTAATACTGCCAACTAGGAAATATATTCTTGTAGTTCTACAGACACATAATATTATCACACCAAAAAAAAAAAAAGAAGAAGAAAACCAAAACAGTAATACTTGGGTCCCTCTTTTGTGAAGTCTTCATTCAATATTTAAGCCCTGCAACCCCTGTCTCTCATTTCATCACACATATTTCTGGGATGAACATTGGAGAAAAAAATATTCCAAATAAGGCACATTTTTCTCATCCACTAACCTCTTCTAAAAACGTAAGAGATATTTTTAAAAGTCCTCCATAACATCCAGACCCAAATAGTTAACTCTGAGATTTAATTTATGCATATATAGTTTCCACACACACCCCTATTTTCTGCAAGACTGAGGAAGGAGACTGGGAAAGAACTAAGTGCAATCTGCATGAGGAGGCCTAACACAGGTGGTGGGTTATTTTCAGGCAACAGCACCTTCACAAAGATGCTATGGAATACAGTCCAAGAAATTCCTAACAAGGAAAGATAAGCTGGCATGCAAATTTAACACAATCCAGCTAAAAATCACCTGCAACACATGCTACTACATTTCACCATAAAAGTGACAGGCTACTACAGAATCTGAAGCTTCATCAATACAACATTCTGTCCATAAGGCCAGAGATAGCAGTTGCCATGGTTACTATCACCCACTTTTATCAGGAAATTATTGTCATTACTCTGAAGTTTTTGGTACTTAAAATTAAAAAAAAAAAAAAAAACAGGTTAGGGTCCTGATTGTTAATTGAGTGAAAAGAATCAACTACTGTTAGATTTGTAAGTATGTTGCTTTAGAGATGCACATGGTTAACAATACTTGGATCTGCAGCAGAAAAAATCAATTCCTTTCTGCTGCTCCTTCTCCTCAAGTACTGACAGTTTGTATTCTCAATGCAGCCAAAACAATAAAACAAAACCCATCTTTTTTGGCTTCTGTGTTTAAGTTATTTTTCTCCCCTAGGCCCACAGAGTCAAAATAAAGCCTAGATCACCAACCTGTTAGGCCCCATCCCCTTCCTCTCTCCAATCATCAATTCACTTTTTTGTCTACTTAAAAGGCAGGGAAACATTTCCGTATATGATTCCAAAATATAGGAAAGAATAGTTTCCTTTAACCAGGAACCTGGAAACTGTATTTTATTTTTGGAAAAAGGGGTAGTCTTGCAGTATATTGGAGGGTGAAGTGGAGAGAGTATTCAAACTGTCAAGTAAGTACAGAAAGTTGCTTTAGAAAAGGGCCCACAGGATGAGCGAACCACATATATTATCTGCAAAAGGTCAGAGTTCACCACTACCACAGTTTAAGACTGATCTAAATGACAAGTAACATACAAGTTATTTTTAAAATTCTCAACTTTCTCACAAAAGGTTACTGCTCAAAATTTAATATACAAATAAGAACTACAAGAAAACCTTCAAAATAGTATGATCCTGTATACAAACAAACATCCAAAGAATATAACATGTTATTGAATAATCTACAATGAATCTATGTAGTGTAACATATAGCAAAAATGCACATATGATAGTTAAGAGTGATCAAAACAAACTGCTATGCTCCCAAAGAATACTTAGGACCCACAAAAAAGTCTACGTACAAAAGTTTATGAGAAGTCAACATAAATCAGTAATATTTCCCAGCACAAATTTTCATATGAAAATTCAAACATGTTTCAAGAAATCACCTCTACCCACGGACATAAAAAAATTCTGTCAAAGGCTAGAAACATTAAGCCTTTCCTTTCTCACTTTAAATAGTAATGAAAAACAAGAGTCTTCAGCAGCCCAGTAACGAGGGATACAACATTTAAAGCACACTCATACAACCTTAACTTTAGTATTTTCTCAAAAAAAAAAAAGCTCTGGGGATGAAAAAAGTTAAGATTACCCTGAGAGGTTTCATTTTTTTTTTTTTATCTGAACAGCTAAAATGTTCTCACTCTTCAAGAACAAAGTTCCTGTATTCAAATTCTAACTGTGGCTATTTCAAACACAGCAATCACACTGAAGATACTACATCTTCTGATTATGTTCATAAACACAGGGTCTCTCCTTTTTTTTGAAGTTTTCTTGTCCAAATTTGTGAGCAAAGTCTATTAAGAAAGCCACAAGTTTTAAACTTTGGGGTTATTTTTACACAAAAATATTTCAGTCTAGTTCTCTAGAATTGAGTAGTCATTTCCTTGTGCATCTCTCTAAAACAGAAAAAAATGATATATATGCATACCTAACATTAATGCATACAAATATACATCTTTTCACTCTGAAATGAGTTTGAAAGCTTTAGTCAGTCAGAATTTTTCAGAAAGTTAGGAGAATCAATCAAAACCTTAACTGTGACATCTCTTACTCTGTATGTTAATAAGAATGTACAGAAGAATCTGAGAAGCTAAATATTCACTAAATTCAACTACCATCTTCATATCAATGGAGACAGAGAAAAACTTTAATAAAGGGTACACATTTCACAAGATCTATAAAAGGAAAAATGATATACTATTTTTAATTATGAGAAACTGCCTAGGCAGCATTTTTTTTTTAACAAAGGTTTAAAACTGTAACAAAGCTTTGGTACCCACAGACATATCTTTATTAAAAAAAAATGATCTTTCGGGGTACACTTCTAATGCATCCATTTTCCACATCATATGAAGAAAGTTAAGTTTTAAAGACAGAAGTTTCTGTCCATGTATTAATTAGATACCTAGCTCAACAACTTAACATTTACATGGCTTGACAATTTACAAAGGATATGTATTACCCTGTGTGATCTTACAGAAAAAAAAAAAGTTAAGTATTTTGTCTAGAAAACAGAAAATTCAAAGCAAATTCATGAGAATTTCAACTCAATCCTGTTTTTAAAACTTTGATATAAATCTTTACAAGCCACCACAGTAGCATACTTCCAGTGATAAATCAATTCACCTAACACTAACAGTTTCAAAAGACGGTGTGTTGTAAATGCTATGAAAATACTTTCATCTTTACACAGTTGTTGTTAAGTAATACTAATGGATATATCAGCAATGACCTGTAACCAAGATATAACTTTATTCCATAGTTCAAGAATCCTAGTCTTGGAGAAGGTCATATATGTATTTATAAAGCCGAATGCCTAAGAATTTATCCATTAGGATTATTGTCCACAGACTCAAGAAAAAAAGTCAAATGTTTTCCACACAATAGCTCCCTTTCCAAAATCTCAATACTCTCTCTACTATTCGTATTAATGTTACAGGGATGATCACAAAATCTAAAGTTCCAAACCATACAAACTACTTTTGTTTACAGTCATTAAATAAATTTTTAAAAAAATGTTTAACACCCCCATTCACCAATACTAGACTAACTCGCCTTAAAAATAAAGTAACAACCCTCTATACGTTAGCACAGCATCCTGAAAAGCTATCCACAGAACAAATCTACTTTGTATAGTAGACAAAGATTTCAAACAGCAAAGCAATTTATTAATGGAATTTTTTAAATGGACTTACTGAAAATCTTTCTGGAACTTTAAGTTGTTAAATCCTGTAGCTTAGCTGAAGTTAAGTAGAGCTGTAATAAACAGCAAAACCCTCAAAATTCAAAGATTTGCTTTATCTTGTTGTAGCACCTCCTGCTGGATAACATTTAGAGCTCTTCATGTAAGCAGAAGAAGAGTATTTCTGAGGCAGCTCCTTCCAGATGATTGAATAGAAAAAAAGGACTGACCCTTCAAAGCCAAAAGAAATAGGGCCCCATCCATCACTTATACCTTTTAAGAATAAAACCTGGCATAGGTAGAAGTCTTTTTAATCTCTTACTACTCCAGTTCCATAAAGACTTGCCTTAGTCTAAAGTTCAGTGTGCTTAAACCTTGCAAAATTATCTAAAAACTAAATTAAAAAACCCTCAAAAGCACTCAAGCAAAATATTTTTCCATCCAAGCCATGTCATTCATCTTGCAATACTAATATGTTAACAAAAGCAAAAATCTGACAGAAGGAAAAGTAACTGGAATATTTTTAATACTTCATACAGAAGTTTGCTTTGAGAATTTTCTGCACTATTACTATGCTCTCTGCTTTAGATAATTATTCATCTACAGAACTTTAAGTACAGAAAAAAATTTCTAAACATGAATGTAACTGCACACAAAAATTATTTCTTTGCCATCAAAAGACATGTTCTGAGATTTTAAAGTGCATTCTTGAGACAATTTAATTGACCCCTAATAAGCTAGTTTTAAATCAACAATGTAGATTCCATATACAAGTGGAGACTGAAAAAGAGAGAATGGGAAGAAACTTACCAAAATCAAAATGAGTAACAGTATTTCCAGTAAAAATGTAGTTAACAGTTTCCTACAATGCTCTGAAACCAAGTAAATTGTGAAACTTAAAAAAAAGGGGAAGGGGCTAGTCTACAAAAATCAAAAGAAAAGTTGACCTATTTCTTTCTACTGCCCCAAAAGTAAGTGAACACCAGATAAAAACAAACAACATAAACAGTGAAAAGTACGCTCAGATGCCTTAACCCCTATTTCAGCCCCTTAATCAAGCCCTCGATGAAGCTACAGATCCCTCTCTAAAAGGAAAGTCCAGCTCACAGTACTAAAGAACCCTTACAAAGTGTGTTCCAAAAAGGAAAAGGCTTTCTTCCTAGAGTGCTGCTTTAAAAAAAAAAAAAAAAAAAACTGCTTAAAAAAAAAAAAACTTTCACCAGCCCAAATTAATCTGGTTCTAATATTCAGCTATCAATTATTTATATATAAATGTTCTTCCCTCACTAACTGGCCCAACTCAAGCATCTACATTCCTGACACCTAGTATTAACAAAAATGCACAGCTCGAACAGCCTCCCTCTCCCCCCCCCCCA